TTTTTACATATATAAAACGGTTAGTTTTTATTGGAAAGTAGTTAATGTAGGTGAAGAGTGAAGATCTATGTCTGAAGTGCTATTGCAGCTTTTCACTGAACATATTAACTTTTTATTTGATTTAACTTTAGAAGAAAACTTCGTCGATTCCATCATCAAAAAAATTTTTACTTTTTTAACGTGTTTTATTATTTTAATAAACAATTTTACAATTTGCGTGCACAGTTCCTATGTAAATTTTTCCCTATTCGAGTTATAAATTTTGCCACCAGATGGTGTATGCCCATTTGACGGATCCCAATAGAGATTAATAAAAATCGAACATAAACATGGTGCTAGAACGTTAAGAAATAGGTAATACATAAGTATATACACATTAGATTATAAATAGGTACTTATTTTATTTATTTAAAGAAATCTGTTAATATTTTCTCAGTACCCTTTTTACAATTTTTCGCTTCAATATTTTGAGGGAACAACGTCAAACGTACTTTCTCCAATTATTGTTATCAACTTAAACCAAATGTTGAGGATGAGTATCATGAACAGGTAGGAACAAGCGCACAAGTGTGCTGCAAATGTAGTAATTGTAAATAGTATCGCTTACAGAGGTCTAGAGTAAGAAGCTGTTACTTACAGAGGTCTAAAAGTGAAAAATGACTCTCTCTAAAAGAGGTGCTCACACTGTCACTCATATAGGTTTTCGGGGCTAAAAATGATGAGACCTGATTATTTTTCTCACTTATCCAGTTTTCGCCTATCCAGGTTCGACTGTATATCTACCATTAGGTAGGGACCAATTTTGTATTTACTCGATTATCCTGTCGATGGTTTCATGATTTGGGCTAGGCGTTTTTCTTAAATAAATTAATAATTTAAAAAAAATACCTAATAATGATAAACCAGTAATATGTTTATTCTTGGAAGGTTCATATGCAGGTTTTATCCTTATCACAAAGAAAACAAGTGAATCGCAGGATAGTTGGATTGATAGGATTGCTGGTATCAATGATATGTGATTATCTGAACAAGAGGCGTAGCTACGTAGCAAAAGGCCCTGGTGCAAAAAAAAAACTGTGGTTCTAACTAAGTTATTTAGGTTTTACCAAGTCCAAATATGAATATATATGTTACTGGAAATGTATGAAATCTAGGATTTGTATACAATTTCAAGGCTATTTAGGAAATGTATAAAATATTGTTTCAAAGATTTTTTTATACACACAAATCCTGGGAAATGTATACATTTCCTAGGAATTGTATGAAATTCCGATATTGTACTAGGAAATGTATGAAACTAATGGTTTCTGTGAATAAAATACTCTAACATATCAGAAGCGTTGAATAAACTTCAATCTGTCATAAATTTACGTAACTAAACAATGACGTCACCAATGAATATGCATCTTCAAGCAGCCTGTTGTATTATTGCTTATTTTATGTCATAGGCCGCCAAATACTGTTTTTCAACGTTCGATAACTATGCTTCATTATCATTTCCGCACCCAACATATAACTATATCAAAATGATCAGCATATTCGCCTCTACAACATACTAAAAATTCATATGAATTGGTGACGTCATTGTTTGGTTAGACAGATTCCTAGTACAATATTGGAATTTCATACAATTTCTAGTAAATGTATATATTTCGTATGATATGGATGTATTAAAAAGTCTTCGAAACAATATATATTTATATATTTCCTAAATAGTCTCGGAATTGTATACATTTCCTAGGAATTGTATAAAATTCCTAGATTTCATTCATACATACTTCAAGGTGCAAAGCTATTTTATTACTAGCTCATAAAATCGTGCTGCAACCTATTTTATTTGCATTCCGAGGGTGAGAGAATTCTTCACTAATGTAATTTGAAGTTTGCTGGTCAGAGCCCGAGAGACCCCTGAGATTGGGGAACCCGATACACTGCAATGTCTAGCTCTACCCCATAGCTAGGTCACTGCCTCTAAAACTGGAAATACAAATAGATTTTCGATTCTTCCCCCAGAATTTATTGCTGTAGCTGTGTAAATACTTGCCTTAGTGACTTCGACTAATTAAAATCATTAATTTCTAATTCTATGAGGAATAATACGTAACAGACCTACTTTACTTGAATTTGATATGCACTGTAGTATTACCTATTTCTTCTTCTACTACGACACCCAAAATTTGTTTAAATAACCGTAATTACACAGTAACTGCTGTTAAAGTTTGATAATATTAATACAGCGGTACCTAATGGAACCTTTAGGTTGTCAGCCCAACGTATTTTCTAATATCACCATTTATTAATTCAATTATCGTATGCATAAATAATTTACAATAAAAAGACACTTTTAATGGCAATAATGTTACAACAATTTTGGTTACTAATAAATTGTGACCGTATGCTCATTAAAAGTATCTTTTTATTGAGAATTAGTCATAGGTACGAATGTATCTGGTTAATTTATGAAACAATCGGAATCTTACATTACTGTAGATTTATTTCACTGTTTAATATCTATTTTCTTGTATCGATTTTACAACGTTTGATGCTGCACACTTATATTGTAGGTCAGACAGAAAAATAAGAATTGCAACGGCATTTTTTCTTTTCGTGTCGCAGAAGCAACATTGCACAACTTGAGACGTCTATTTCAAAATATCCAATAATTTTTAATTCCGTTTATTGGATTTATATTACCTTATTAGATACTTATATGAAAAGACGGTTGAAGGTATTTGTACAAAGTATTTTATACTACGTATCTTTTAAAAGGCGATGCGACTGTCATTACGCTTTTCCTCGAATGAAAAACGGAACCCTTATGGGATCACTCGTGTGTCTGTCTGTCCGTTTTAGTTATTTATCGAGATTAAGTTTAAGACTAAGGTGACCATATTTTATTTCAAATCCGGGACGGGAACTTGTAGCGGGGGGGGGGAGGGTAGTTAAGTTAAATAACTTAAATATGATTTTTTTAATAAAAATTATACATAACAAATTCTATTTAAGGATATAATAAAAATCAGTATTTTTTTTAAATGAATCACATTTTTTTTATATTTTTCTGAACTATGGATCTTTTTCAGTAGGTTCAAATTTTGTAAAAATAATTCTAGTTAAAATATATTTAAAATTAATATTGAAAATAAGAACCTTTTCAAAAATTCGGGACAATTCGGGACAAAAAACCTGAATCCGGGACAAATATTGCTTCTAGCAAAATCCGGGACGCAAGGTGGAAATCCGGGAATGTCCTGGCCAATCCGGGACGTATGGTCACCTTATGCATGACCTGTGAAAATTTAAATTTGTTTTCTCTTACTATGAACGAACCTAGTGGCAGACGGACGGACAAACAGACAAAAATCGTAGACTGCATGGGTAATAAAAAGGGTTCCATTGCCGCTGGGTACAGAATTCTCAGGAAAAAAAGTTGCTAGAGAATTTTGAAAAAGAAAGTGTGAATTTTGATTAATGCAATTAATAAGTCGTTGTAAGACATTTATAAAAATAACTACATGTACGTATATGTAGAATGCGTCATGCGATCGAGATTAATTTAATAACATGCAGGCGTGGAATATAGATAACCGGCAAAGGGAATGAGAATGGTTAAATTTTACAATTAATTAATACTGTTCTCAACATTAATTTATTATTATTTTGCAAAATGAGATTTTACAGAAAGTTAAACTCCTGATTGTTTGGCAGACAAGCATGAGTTTGTCTCAAGCATATCTATTAAAAATAGAAAACTAGTATGGAAGAAGACATAGTAATTTTGACCTATTACTGAGGCACCTCGATGTGTGTAATTAATACATACCTGCCACAAAATGGTAAACAGGTATCACAGAGATAAAATAATCTTATCAGCTTATATACACAAGCCAGTTAGTTACGATGATCTAAATTTGTGAAATAATAAGAATGTTTTGTATAGACGCGAGTGGATATTAATTATTAACAAGAAATTATTGCTGTAAGTGTGAACTAGCATACATTCAGAAAAAGAGTAAGTACTTCAAATATTGTCTTTCTGATTTTGTATCTGTCCGTAGTTTCGTTGGTACTTATGGGTACCTAATTGTTTTCTTTTTTTTTTATTTTTGTATTTTATAACACATTAATGTTGCCGCTCAATAACCAGGCTTATAGTAATTTCTCAAAATCGCAATTACTATATTGATCTTTTGACGAAAAATTAAACACGTAAATAGAGATTAGGTAAAAGTGTGATTCACGATTTCTTATGAGTAATTACATTATAAGTGATAGCATTTTTAATACCTACCCATCTAATTAAAATTAGTGTTGATACTATTTAAAGACCAAAGTGTTTATAGTTGTTCCTAAAATTTATTATAAACAATTCATATGAACACTAAGTTAAAATGCTATTTTTATACAAACTTCCGTAAACTAACCCAACCTAACCAGTCGTAATTAATGTACTTACTGCCTAATTAACCCAGTATTGACCGTTTAGTAATTCTATATTGATCATTTAATATTTTTGTACTTTTTTGTACCATTTTCGTAGGAGAATACTTTCCGAAAATGAACTTAATTTGTGAACAAAGAAGTAAAATTTCAGATAGAGAACTAACGGTTTTCTGATAAAGAGACTATTGAAATCAATTTTTTATAAAAGAATCTGCATCATTTGTGTTTGCTTAAAGAAAGGTACTTTCCCTTAATTTCCCTGCATTTACAGTTCACAAATTGTCGTTTTATTTCCTTCCGCCAGGATAAAATAGGATTCAAAGAAATAGATTTAGTTTTACTTCAAAGAATTATGGCTGTTGTATGAATTAACTTATGCACAATAAATTACTATATCTTCAAAGAATAGTTAAATATAGCGTCTATTGAGTTTATTAGTAAATTTTAGTAATACAGTTAGTTAAATCTTTTTTTATGGTGTTCATAAAAGGATTTCAACCTTACTGTAAATAATTGAAGTATTTTGACATAATAGACGATTTGGATTTGCATGGTGGCATATATACAAATATATTCTGGTACCACCATCGAAATTTGGACTGCTAGTTTTTGTTTACATTTTTAGTTATGAAAAAAAAAATTTAATATACCCCAAAAAAGAGCCAAAAACACTTTGCGTTTATAAATACATACGGAACAACATCATTTTATAGATATAGAAATACTTAACTTTACATTTAATGTGGTAATTATATTTTGTACTATTTACCATTAAACACGTTATTTTAGGATATTTTATCTCCAAATGGGAGCAACAGGTTCAAAGGGTGAGGATCATGCATTCGATCGAGGAAGTACATTGAGCCTGTCGTCGAAAAGAAGATCGTCAAAAGTAGATGAACTGCAATCAGTAACCGATACCATTACACGAATCAAAGACGAAATAGAATACTACAATGGAACCCGAGCCGATCCTCGGTACGAAGAATGCCAAAAAATACTTGCAGATTTGTCGAGTAGACTTCAAGACTTGAAGAAGTCCGGTAAACGAAAGTCCACTGCCCGTATAGATGATATCTTGGACGATATCAAAGTCTGCTTTCGATTACTTGAAGAGAAGGTCGCCAGCAACGATGCCAAAGAACAAAATCTCGATATGGCATCAATTGAGTCCCATTCCTTCATCAATCAGAACGTCAATAAATTTGAACAGGCTAAGAAGCCAGAATTTCACGGAAGTATGGACAGCATGATTTCAGCATCGGGGTATCATCCTAAAAAAGAGAAGCCCAAATACCGCCCCATCAGTACTATCGATCTGTTAGAACAACAGGTTGAAAATATCGAAAAAGAGGTAAAAAGCGCTGTTGAACTAGAAGACACCAAACAATTTCTCATTTTGGAAAAAAAGATTCAAATTCTGTACACCGATTTGGAGATGATTCCTTCAGATGCTCACACACCAATGAGCGAAAGGAAAGAAGGACTGGAGAAACGTTTAATAAAATGCAATAATCAACTTAAAAAGACCAAGAGAAGCATGGACAGGAGATCCAGAACCAGTTCTCAAATTGATAGTAAAGCGTCCACATCGTCAGTTGTTGACAGGAGAGAAGTAAAATCTGTCGCTGATCCTGTATCGACCGAACAAATGGACGAAATCGGAAAAATTTTAAGTGAACTTGAAGAATATCTTCTCAAAGTTCAAGTATTCGATGGAACTAAGAAGGACGACGATTACAAAAGACTCGTTGGAAAATTAGAAGAGTATTGGTCAAAGGTTTACAATATAGAAGAGTTTAGTAACATCGATCGCACAAGAAAAATCGATACGATTGAGAAAATCAAATTTCTTATAAAGAAATTAGAAACGAAAGCAGAGCAAAATGCTAAAATCCTTTTAGCAAAAGCAGACATCAATAGAATCGAAGACGACCTACAAATTTGCAACAGGTCTATCAATTCTTTTAGAGGCAAAAAAGGTGATGATGCCTACACAAACATAGATCAGAAGCTGAGGCTTCTCTGGGACAATTTGGGCAGAATAGACGCAGGAGATGCGATAATCACGAAGAAGAAAAACGAAATTATTGATAAGGTTCAGGACGCGTTGAAGAATCTTGAAGAGAAGGCAACTGTTGAAAATGTTATAGAACCCGTCCAAGTATTAGCTCATCAAAATGTACTAGATGAAGATTACATTCCACAACAATTGTTAAAACAAGCGGAAGAGTTCCAGAATCATTGGAGCCAACTTGAATATAATCTTAATAAACAGAAATTAAAAAATAAAGAACACTATCAAAATATTGTTGCAGTTTTAGACAATGTTTCAGAATCGCTAACGTTTTTTATAAATGAACACAGAACCAGCATTGATTCTCCTCAATCAGCACCAAACAAAATCCAATCTACATCTCAAAGTGCAAAAAGTAGCCGTGACGAGCAACGCGCTCAATTTTTCAATAGTATAAGAAACGAACCAGAGCATTTGGAACAAAAATCACTGGCATCGTCGATCGTGTCTGAAATCGTTAGGAACAATTTCATTTTGGATACTCGCAATTACAAAAAACCTGATCTTATATCTAGTGAGAAAGACTTACGTGTAGCAGTCGATAATGAAGAATCAAAGAGCAAAATCCAAACTCTTTCAGCCACCAACGTGCTCGCTGAAGTTCAAAGGATGCGAGTTGAAGCAAAAGACCTGGTTAAGCAAATCAATCATTCTGACGTAGGAGACGAAAAGATATATTTAAGAATAAAGAATGAGTTGAGGCAGCTACAAGATTCTATTAAAGCTATTGATAGTGATGGAACTCAAACGTTATCGTTGCATAAAACCAAAACTGAAAAGTATATCAATGATGGTCTTCAGAAATTGGAAGAGAAAAGAACAGAACTTAAAAGAAAAGAAGACGAAGAGAAATCGAAAAGTGCAGCTAGCAAAAGTGAAAGCAGTCCAGGAAGAATTTCTGTTTCGAGAACATTGCAAGACATAATGAACATTGATGCCAATGTACAATATCTACAGAAGCAGATCCAAAAGTTTGAAGGAATCACCAAAGATCCGGCATACACAAAAATTGAATCAGGACTTGCGGAAAGTCAGTCCAAATTAGGATCCATCGATATCAACGGCTACGATAATTTGCGGATCAGCAAGAATGAAATAATTCAACAAATTGGAAAGTACAAGAAGGAATTGGAAGATAAATTAGTTGATAATCAGAAGAACTATAAAAATTCCAACCCCAATTTGATAAGTATAGGCTCTGAGGAACCTAAAAGACAAGTTTCTCAAGAACTTAAGTCAGTAATCGAAGAAGTTCAAAAACTCAAATCGCAAGTGGAAAGGTTTTCAGGGATTTACAAAGGAATTCAGTACAAACAAATAGAAGATAGCTTTAATTTGACTTCAGCAAAATTAGAAGCATTAGATTCCAAAGGAAACGATAAAATTGAGAATGCAAAAGCACAAACGTCCCAAAAGATTGAACAGTACTTAAAAATATTAGAAGATAAATCCATGAAAGTCGCCAAAGTAAGTCCAGAAGCTTCAACAGAAGGAAAAGAAGAAGATGTAAACAAAAATGAAATCGTAGTAACAACAACCAAGCCAGTGACAACAATATCAGCTACTACGTCACCCAGCGCATCAACCGACAAAAATATAAATCCTTTGATTATATCGTTTCAGCAAATAGAAGCCTTACGTAACAAATTGGTTACAATAAAGGAGTCCGTAGAATCCTTTCAAGGTACTTATAAAGACTCTAACTATATTAAGTTGGAAAACGATTTGCTAGCCTGTAAACAGGACATCAACAAAATTGAAGATCATAGTAATGCTTCGATAAATACCAGTAAAAATCAGTATATAGAATACATAGACAAACTCCTAAAGTACTTTGAAGATAAAATGAACATTGACAGAGCAAATAGCGATTGGGATCGCAATCCGCTTGAAGAGATGAAAGAGACAGAGAAAGAATTATCACAGCTTAAAAAGGATATCGACAAATTCGAAATGAGTCAAGGTGAAGAAGTGCTTAAGGATCTCGACGAGCGACTCACAAAACTGATCGAAAAGATCGAATCGATTGACATAGGAAACTTGACAAATTTACGAGATCACAAGAACAAAATTCTTTTCGAAATACAACAAACTGTGAACCTTTTGAACGACAAAGCTGTGTCACCGTTTCCAGAAGAATTACAGCAGATTTTGCGTGAAATAGCGTATGTTAATCATGGGGTGAATGAGTTTAAAGGAACGAGGTATGATAAGAAATATGCAGAACTTGATGAAGCTCTTATACATCTCATGATGAGGATCAGAGGCGTGGACACGAGAACTAGTACAGCCGTAGCCGATGAATGCGTCAAAGCGATTCAGCGGATACAAGAACTGATGAAGGTACTTCAAGAGAAAGTTCGCATTCCAGGACTAGATGATAAAGCACCTTTAGTTCATAATTTAGGTACATTTGTGTAGTATGTAGCAGTAGTATAGTTGATTGTTTTGTATTTTATCTTGGATAAACGAGCTTACCGTCTTAGCAGTTCGAGTGTTTTATTTTTTTATAAAAATATTTCTTTTATCTGCAGTAAATGTCAAAATTAGAAGCACGTTAATTAATATTGTCGTACTCACGGAATCACGAATGCTACAGTTGGAAACGTCGCAGTTTAATTTCAAAGCGTTTGATGCGATTTCCACATTCGCTACGTCGAAAATTTTTAAAATTTAACAAAATCTTACATTCACATCTTACATGAAGATCAGATGATAGAAGCTATAGTTTATGTGATTACAAAAGCATAAATTATCAATACTACATTCCTTTCAAATATCTAAATAAAAAATTATGCGATTTTTGACTAACGTAATACCTATATAGGTTTTGTAGCAATCGCCGTGATATCTTATCGTTATCATTACCGATAAAAAAATATGATGTGTGTTAAACAGTTTAGAAAGTGATTTTTTGAAAGTTATTTCTTTCTTAAGATCAACAAGTTTGTGAATTTTAATTGTGCAAGTTTCGTTTGTGTTACGTCTTCAGATTGTAGTGATGGGTGGTAATAATTCGAAACGTGGTTCGTACGACTTGGAAAAGTCTGAGAGAAAAGCAACATCTAAAAAACTGAAAACCGAGAAGGCCATTTCTTTCATCAATCTGACAGAGCAAGAAATATATGAAGATTTATTTCCTTTTAGACGAAGAAGTACGAAAAGGAGGAGGAACCTTCACGACGATGATCCAAGACCTTACAGCGTCGCAGTTATGCAAGACAATTGCTACGATGACACGGTATTACCGCAGAAAAGGACGTCCTTGGGGAGTGACAGTGGAAACATGAAGATGTTAGAGCGGCGTGATATCAAAAGTGAACCAATCCTGTACAATGAAAATTTGCCTGAAGATGTTCCTCAAGTGCCTCCAAGAGGAATTACTGTCAATCAAAACGAAGGTTATGTTTATTCAGTTGAAGATTTTCCACAACAATTTCAGTATTCATTACATACAAGATTTATGGATACACCAAATGAACCAATTCATACATTTATGAGTGATAGTACTAGCGCGGAAGACAGACAATACCATTCAATACAAGAAAACTCTAAAAGAACTTTAAACAAAGCCATTTTTCAACCAAGAAGGGCTAGTTGTCCTGACATCTTGTTGGAAACATTGGAAAATAGTTATTTTCCGAATATAACGGAATACTATTTCCAAACAGTATCTCAACGGCAATCACTCGAAAACCACAACGAAGAAAGAGAAGTAAGTGGATCGAGTTCAATTTCGAGTGGCATGAGCGAAGTGGGGCGTGGACTAGCCAAAAACCACTTTCCTACTAATACTAAACAAGAACAAAACTTCATTCACAACGGTAGTGATGATAATTCTCTAACTAAATTCGATGTTGTTTTAAAAGAAAACGAATTAGATCCCTGCCGTATATACGACACGATAAAAACTTCAGATGTGCTTCAACCGTACGAAATTCAACTAATAAACGAGTGGCTGTCCAAAGCCCAAGCGAATTGCTATATTAACAGGGAAAGCAGGAAGAAATCGTCAAGCAATTTGATAAGTTCACTATCACATAACGAAGAAGACTTTTTTACTGCAGCATCAGATTCTTTACCGAGTTACACAGGAAGTAGATCCAATAAGGTCACATTCGACGAAATGGTCACGAAACGGGTATACGCTGAGTCTAGCGGAAGTGACGAAGGTGACGGAACCAAACGAAATCCAGTGCCACGACGAAACTCTGATACGTCATCTTTAACATCCTCGGATGCTGAAAGTGTTAAATTCTCATTAGGTTACAGATACAGGGATGAAAAAGGGGCAATTTATAGCGAAGATGGATACAGAAGTTCCGAAGAGAATTCGGAAGATTCCGAAGAGGACAAGATCAAGATGAGAGACCAGCAACTTAAGTTGCTCATGTCTAATCCGATTATTTCCGCCGAGTCGATTGAGCAACTTAGAAGCAATTATCATGCAACAATGAGCGAACAGAAAGATCTTCACGTTATCTCAGAAACGGAAGAGGAGGAAGATGAAGAGAACTTCTATGATGCATTGGACCAGGAACGTAACAAGGAGTTAATTGAATTTATTGAACAATATCCATCACTAAACGGTTCATCTGACGGAAACTGTTTGGATAGATTTAATGGAGATAGTAAAGAAAATGATTATTTAGACCCTGTAGTTCAAAGCTCGTTCGCAGAATTTGAGACTCTGTGTCAAACTGAAAAGCTATGTTTTGATGTACAATGTGAATGGGACGATAGTAATCTAAAAGAGGAGATGCAACCGATATTCAACGAAAATGATGATAACAATTTACTTGAATTGGGAAGAAAAGATGAACACAATCCAAAAATTTCAAGACGTAACGAAGAAAAACAAAATGAAGGTATAGATATGAAACAAAAACAAATATTTAGATTAATATGAAATATTCTCAACTTTTACCCACTACACATTACCTCAAATTAATGAGGAAAAATTGTTGCTGTTGTCACACCCCCGCCGGGAATCGAACCCGGGCTCTTTGACTTTACGCGCCAATGCTCTGACCACTAAGCTACTTCGGGAAGATTTCTACATTGTATGTACGAGGGTGGATTGATAAGTTTCCGGCCTAACCAAGAGATGACGCCACTAGGCCTACCTTGAGGTGACATTCTATAGTACCATCCTTGGATAGCTTGTAGCTATAGTTTCAGCCCGATCTCCTTGCTAGTGTAGGTTTGACAGC